TCCATTGTCCAATGCCACCAACAAAGGCGATTGTTGGTCTGCTGCTGGTTGAGGCGAAGATCTGGCTGCTGCAGTTGCTTTCTGAGTGACAGGCCATTATTATTATTATCTTGGGATCTTGGGACATTGGGATCTTGGAGATTGCAGACCAAGTGTCTTCCCTGCTCGCTGGCATTGGATAAATATTGCAGCCCATTAATTACAATCAAAGTGGCACAAGCACACTCGAGGGCAATACTATCACTCAATGTCTAATGACAACGCCAGTCGATCAATTGCCAAACTATTTAACCCCTTTGTGGCTTTATTTGCATTTATAACGAAGTCTGTGAAACATGTCAATTCGGTTTTTAGGCTCCTGACTCTTTTATATTACTTAAATGGCTTATTCCTGTGCTATTTAATTGCATTTAAAATTATTCAAAAAACAGTTCTATAATGCAACGAAGTGGAAATGTGTTGATCTTGAAATCATACATTTTTAAGTCTAATTTTAAGTAGAAATAATAAGGATCCTTGTGCTATGAAGATTGTACTGTTCTTATTGGCACAAACTAAACTTTAATTGCTACTAATTAACGCAGTTTCTAGAGCCGAAACTAATTTCTCCACCGAAGGTCATTATAGCCAATTTAAACTGTGCTCGCTGGTACAGTCGCAGCCCTATCTATTTTCGGTTTTTATTATTTTTTCGGCGCTGTGCGGCCGGAAATCGCCAGCAATTGCACGTCCCATGTGCGTGTCTTTCAAAAAGATGTGTGTGTTTTCCACTTCTGTTTTTCCCGTTTTCCTGCATTTTCCGTCGCTTCTCGCCTGTGGAATAACAAATAATTAGCATTAACCACGCAATTGAGTCGCGGCGGCGCAATGTTGCATTTAATTTTCGGGAAAATGCGTTGCACATGTGCATGCGCGAAAGGGACGGGTGTAGGTGCAGCGAAAGAGACGGCATGAGCTGCAGCGCAGTGCGATAAAGCATTTTCGGTAATGTCAACAAAACGCCAAAGAAGAACGACAACAAAGTAAGCAAAAGGAAAACCTGCACAGCGAAGGGGGAGCGGGAGGGGCGGCGATAGCTAGGTCGCCATCTTGGCTTTCCCAGAAGAAGGGGAAATTGGTAAAAACACAAGACACTCGAACTTGTGGATGCACAGACACAAATGCAGATACAGATACACGCACACTCACGCATTTGTTGCATGCCTCGCGTGGTTTTTCTTCTATTTTTCGACCTTTTGTTTTTCAGCTTCGGCATCGGCGGCCCTACGCCAACAAAACTGAAGCCACATCACGATTTTGGCTACGATCGTGGCACTCGGAATTCAAATGCTGGCCACGCCGCCTCAGATTGCATAATTGCCACGACAGCACGGCGATCATCGAACCTTCAGGGTGCTTCAGTTGATGTATGAGTATGAGACTTCAGTATGGGGAGTTATGCTAAGAAATTCGTTAAAACTAAATTAACGATTGAATTAAATTATCTGAAATAATGAACTCATATATATTTTGGCCTCAATTTCACTAAAGCAAGTTACTCTATGAGTATGTTTCCAAAAGTAAAGTTCTAGCACTACATCTCTTTCCGTGACCTTCAATCTAACAAACCCCCATCAGCATCAATTTCTCATCGCCTTCGATCATCGGGGGAATGTATCTCATTACTGAGCGTGGCTAATTTGCCCGCAGAGGTCAAGAAGTCAGGACGCTGGTCAGCTATGCGCCTTCTCGCTCTGGCACACGCTTGGATCGAGGATCAGCATTCAATGCAATGCAAAAGGATCTGCCAACGAAAGTGAAACCAGGATCGATAGCCTCGAGCGATTCGAGCGACTGACACACGCTGTCCTTTGGAAAACAAAGGCCTCGAAATGCGACAAATTCAAACAGTTTTTGTTTGGTTTTACGTTTTTTCATTGTCATTTTCATTTTCATTTCCATTTTTGTTTTTGGGTCTTTCGAGTGGATGTTGCTTTGTGCGAGTCAAAGTTCCCAGATATCCTTTGTAATTGGATCCTTTTTGAGGAGCAGAACAATCCCTGCGCGTGTGAAGCGCGACGAGTGCGCGTATATCTATTTTCGTTTTCGCTGCATTTTCCTGTATTCTCGTATCTTGAGCGTTGTTTATGTCGCATAAAAAACCGAAAACGAGTCCGAGGGATACGTTTCCCAACCCCAAAACACCCGCACTTTCCTAGGGTCGCTGCAAATGGCGTACGGCGTGTAATTTATGCCAAATATGATAGCAGCGAATGTTTGTCCTCCTTGTTTACAGACATCACGTTTTCCCTGTCTTCATCTCCAGTTTCTCCGCGTGTTTCCACATGAAAAGTGACAGTTGCAGATCCAAGTGCGATAAGAAAAGTCTGGATGGTCCCCAATGTCTGGAAATTTTCACATTTCCCGGCTGGAGATCGTGCACTAAAAGAAAATGATCATCATTACTAAGGTGAAATTGTAGGCTCAGTAGGCTCCTCAGACATATAAATATGAAATTATATATAATTGTATATTCTTAATATTATAAATTACTATTAAAGTGGATAAACATCAGCTAAAATACATCGTATTCATATAAACGGTTATTTGCCTTAAGTTGGCTGTATTTTACCTTGATTTTTTTATAAGAACTTTAAATGCACCAGTACAAAAATTTGAAAATTTGAGGAAAGACTAATGTTTAATCATATTTCTTGAACAACAAAATCGATATAAAAAGTATCATTGGATTATTTGCTTAAAATGCAAAGTCGGCTGCGCCTTAAATGGATTTTCCTGCTCAACAGCTCTCGAAAAAAAGAAAATATATTCCCAATTCAAGCGGGGGAAATGGCTATTGCCAAGGCAGTTTACCTCGGGTGGAAAATGGCCACCCCCCTGCAAACCGCAATGCGAAAAGCCAAAGTAGAGCAGGAAAATATTGCAGGAAATGTGGAAGCTCCTGTCGCATTTTTAACGCTTTTTAGCATAAACAACACAGGGCAGGAATCGCAGAAGGGCCATCTGGGGGGTTGGTGATATCAACTTATATATGTACTTATATAATATAGTAAGGTTTCCCCGTCTGGCCGACGTCTGCTGCAGCTTTGGCTTTATTTTCCGGTTTTTTTTTCCAACTTCGTTCGTTAGTACGTTCATTTCATTTTCAACCCCTGGCTGATTGCCACAAAAAATTTGCATGCGGCCCTTTGTCGCGTTTTGTTGTTGCTGCAAAATTGCCAGATACAAGACACTCGCACACGCACAATCCACTTTTAATAATGCACACTACGTGTGTACGTGTGTGCGTGTGTGCGTGTGTGTGCGTGTGTTGGTGAGGCACGGAGGGAGGGTGTTTTGGGGTGTTTTCGATAAGTACTTTACGAGAGACAACCCTCGTTTTGCGGATTTTTTTATGGTCCGCCTTTGGTAGTCCAGTGGCAACATCAAAGTTCATATCCTGCTTCCGGAGGGGGGAAAGCGGAAAATGTTCCCTCTGCCTCCGGTGGTTGCTCCTGGCAAATGGGAGTGGAAACCATTGGCATTGGCTGCCACTGCAATTTTCGCAAATATGCCGTGACTCTTCGATTGGTTTTTTGGCGAATCGCAGTGGCGATTTCGCAACTTTTCCCTGCATTTTAGGGGTTGTGAGCGGGGTGGTGGTGGTTACGCCAAAGAGGAGGTTTCTAGCCAGCGAATCATGTGCGAAAAATCTGCAGAGTATGGAATATTGTGATAATATTTTAATTGGTACACCTGTAAGAGAGTTCATTTTCCCAAGAATATAATATAACATGTGGAAACTAGGGGAAAACCAACCAAGTAGCTGTAATAAGCAGTCAGAAAAAATAATCCTGGAATAATTAAATCCTGCGAATTAAACAGTAAGCATTACAGAAGGATTCGCTTTAATTCAAACAAAGGAAATTCGCATAAATCAAGCCTTTCGCAAAGGGTATTTCTAACCCTTCCACAAGGAAGTGCATCAACTTCTTATTCTGCTAAGTCAAGGAAGTTCGATGTGGAATTTGCATAATAATCAGGACGAAAGTAGGGAGCGCCTGAATATGCAAATGACCACATCAATCGAAGGCCAAATTAAAATCGATCAAAATTGATTTGTTGCCCGGTGTGCAGAAACCCAAACACCGCACCCCGAAATGCCAGATCACCCAGGACCGCGATGCCTCCAAGTCCAGGACATTGCCGAAGGAGTTGAGCGCGGAGCGTGAGAAAGTCTCCTTTTTGCACGAGTGATTTACATAATTTTTGGGCAAGTAAATTGCATGCACATCTCGTGTGTGGACCTTATGCAAATGAGCTGTGACGCTATTGCCATAGTGCCGTCCCTCTTCAACCCCCTGCTGCCAGGACGCAGGACGCAGGACTCGGGCCGCAGGACTCAGGTGTGCGAGCGTGTCGGCATGCTGTGAACGAGGCGCCGTCCACTGTGCCCGTAATTAACCCCTGTCTCTGAGGCATTTCCCTTTTTCCATCCCATTTTCACTTTCGTTTGCATGCGCGTCCTTTTGGCAGTTTCGCAATGCGAGTTTCCTTATGCAAATGAGAGTGCATCCGCATCCTTCCCTTATATTCGCCAAGTGAAAATCTTATGCAAATTTCCCTGGCTGTGGAAAACTCCTTCCGCCGCGAGATACAGAGTCTGCGTGATCTCCGCTCCAATTTGAGCGCTGGGTGTCAGGTACTGCGTGCATCGTTATCCTTTTTTGGCTGCGATCGTGAGAAAGTTGGGAAATTTGCATAATTTGTCGTGAAAATTTTGCCGGCCTACGTGATCGCTGCAAAGACAGCGGAGATCACTGATCTCTGATCGCAATTTCCCAACCTTTTCGTGTTCTTGTGTCGGCATGTGTCAATGACTTTTTGTGCGACTGCGTTCAGGAAATAATGAGTTCTCTAATTAAAAACGCGTTAATTGTTCTTTTAGTTTTTACAATTTACGCTTTAATGTCTCCTGGCCATACCAGAAATGGTAAATATGAAATGCAATCGCAGAAGTCTTATGAGGATTGGCCCATGCCCAGCTGTGCTTCGGGTGCACGGGATACCCCTTCATCCTCGGAGGATTCGCTGCTGGAGGCGGAGCTGCTGCCCGAGGATGAGCTGGAGCTCGAGCTCGAGCCTGAGCTGGAGCATGAGCTGGAGCAGGAGCTGGAGCTGGAGCCGGAACTGGAGCAGGAGCTTGACCTGGAGCTTAACTTGGGCCTGGAATTTCTGCCTGAATGGGATTTCTTTTCCGATTCGCTGCTGCTGCTCATCTGGAGTTCGGCAACGATCGTCAGCCCTTGGGGTCCAAAGGGTTGCGTCTGCAGAGGATTACTCATCTTCGGCAGATTGCCCATGGGAGTGGCATCAATAGGCCGCTGCCTGACAGGACTAGTTGGTGCGGAGGAGTCGTCGCTGGTATCGCTCAGATTGCGACTCTCACCCACACCCATTCCCAGTTTTGGAGCCACTACGTTTCCCGGTGGCGGCTTCAATTTGGCGGATAGCGGAGCAGTTGGTCTCTTGCGCACCACGTTATTGCAATTATTATTTTTAGTCCTGAAGTTGACCAGGGAACCACCAGTGCGGCGTCGATTTTTGTTGAGCATCCGTGTAATATCCACCAGCTGGGATTGCAGGGAGCGCTGTAGTCCTTCCTTTTCGGAGGGCTGCATGTCCCTGAGATTCAGCTTGCTATGGGCCCGCATCGCCTTGGTGGCGGCATTCTTCATCAGGACCATGGTATCGGGCGCGAAACCCTTGACATCGAAGCTCAGATCGCCGCAGCTCTCCGAGGAAAATCCTTCGATTTGCTGGACCATGTGAATAATCTCCTTCATGGCGTTCGTCGGAAGTTTGGCAAATAGCTTCTGTATGGCATGTCGCTCCGCTTCGGGAACATTCGCTGAGACATCGATGTCCTCGTCATCCGAGGACTCAATGCTCACTACCATGAGGCTATCGATTTCACTGCTAGTCAGCAAATCCTTAGCTGGCTTGCATTCTCCTTGGACCAAATCCTTTTCCTGTTTGGGGCTCAAGCTCTGTCGCTTGCTAGATGATGGCTTCTGAGAACTTCGGTTGGCTGCCTCCAGCTTATAAATCATCTTGCGTAAGGTGCCACTGAAGGTCTCCACCAAACCCTTGGCCCTCAGAGGCTCCCACGAATCCGGCAGTTGGAGGCACTGCACCAAGCCGTTTTCCGCCGCCTTGGCGGCGGCCAGCAGCTCGTTTAGATCTGCGCCATCCAAAGCGGAATGGACCGATGAGCTGGGCACTACATTCATGGAGGCCCACCACGTGCCCGGCTGGCTAAAGGCTCTCTCGTAGATGACTTTCGCCGGTTCGTGGTACTTCCTGAAGATGCCATCCACATTCATGCAGAAATCATGGACGGACTTGAAGTGCTGCCTGTCCAGCTTCTTTTGCAGCGAATCCCACTTGGTATTGAAGAAATTGCGCGCCGTGGTTTCCGACTGATTGGTGAGGTTCTGCAACTTCTTCAATAGATCGCGGCAACTGCGTTCCGTTTGAGCGGAACTGACCATCTTTCTGACATTGGTCCTGGACCTGCCCGTCGCCTTGGGGTCCTTGTTGCAGGGCATCTCGGGCCCAGGAGGCAGGCATCTGAGTTTCCTTGTAAAGAACTTCTCCAGCATCTGACCTTTGCGGTAAACCACATCGCCCGGCTGATTGAATACGAAGCAATTGCGAATGATTAGCTTGAAGTCGGCGATCGCCTCGTTGATGGATCTGTAGTAGTTGTTCTGCACTCTCTTCAGGATGGTACCGATGTCCATGGGGCGATCGATAACCGTGTAGTACGTGGGCACCTTCAGTGCCTCCGTGTCCACGGGCTCCAAGAAGTCCAACGCGTACTTCTTCTTGTGGGCCTCGTCCAGCAAATGCTTCTTGAAAAAGTGCAACTTGTTGGTGTAACGACCTTCCCTTCCGTGCTGCGGTATAAACTCGGGTTGGACTCGGTTTGGCAGTTTGAGTTTTACCGACAGCGATTTGGAAGAAGCCTGGCGATAGAAGGAAATCATTCAGGGGTTCCCTTCCTTAGCAACTAGCCTACGTACTCACCATTCTACGGATATATTTTTACTGTAATTGGGCTGTAATGGGCACGTTTTTCAGTTGTTTTGACCTTTGACTACTTGCCTCTTTCAATTTCACCACAATGCAATCTCGGATTCGCGGAGAAATACGAATATGTGTGGGGCAACACTTTTGCCCTTTGCCTGTCTACTTTAATGAGCAAATTTTTGTGATGGAAAACGACTGTCCAGTTGACAAGTAAAGCAATCGCACAGCCCACTGCCATTTGGTGAACACTATCGGAAAAGTGTCGAAAAGTTCCAGCCAGGGATGCAGAACTGTGCCTTCAAGTTTGCGTTAGCCCTTGGGATATTGCACAATTAAAAGTCACTACTAGTACATTTACGTATTTAAGTGTACTGCATACTCTTACACCCAGCTCCAATTATAGGCTGGTTAATCAGAATCCGTGTCATTAGTAGACACCCAAACTAATAGCAAGCAATGGCACATCAAAGCGAACGGAGGCAAACAACCAACCACCCATACCACCCACCGCTCGAAAGGCCCCTTCCACTGAATATTTATAATATTTTGCACCACTTCACAGGCTTTCAGCTTTTGGTGCCCCACCTCGCATTGGGAAAATGTGGCAATGGGACATAAAAACTGCTTTTTGCAATTTACATCAACATTTTTATCACCCCGCCGCCCAGCGACACATCCACCACCACCGACAACCTTCAAGGAGTACGGCAACAACAACACGCTTTTCCTATTTGCATACATATGTAAGTGTGTCCCATAAATACAGATATACGGCCACGCCCCCACCGCCGCCCACCTCGACAGCCTCCTGCGTCTTTTTGCGCACTTAATTACACACGCATACGCTTCATTCCACTTTGCGGTGCTGCTGCTCCGGCAGTCGAGCCACCCAACCACCCACCCACTGGAGGACAGGACTCCGCTTCCATCTGCGAACCACCGCGGTGGGACAGGCCCACTACGGAAATAGACACGGGGCACACTCCGGAAAAATGGTACAAAATGAAGGACATCACTGTAGTCCCAATCAATAATGCAAATGAACAAGGAGCAGCCAAAATTATGAATGGAACATGAACATAAGGGATTATGTAATTATATAAATATTATTTCATTTAGTAGCAATTCTTGCGATTCTTTTATTGCTATCCAAAAAGTTGTATCCTAATTAACACTTATTTTGCTTGTTTCAGTTTTTCTGCTTTTTATTAGCATATGAATATAATAGAATCTTTTATTGATCTATCTATTGGTCTATTACCAATTACTGCCTGTGCAGCATTTTGCATAGTGACATATTTTGTCTCTAGTCCTTAATCCCAAATTGTATTTAATGTAACTAATATCGAAGTAATCCACTGATATATTTACATTTTTGCTTGCTTCAAAACTTGTTTTAAAACTTTTCATGGAGCAAGTTCGTCACTAGACAATTACATAATATTTGTAACTAGCATACGCTTCTCTGTTTCAGTGTTCTTGGTACAGTCCTGCGACTGGCGTCCCACATCCTTGACCAAGGACTTTCCGTGCTGCAAATTTGTTGCTCCTTAGGCAGGGGCACTCACAAAAAGGCCACTCACGGAATCGCTGGAGACGCAGGATGCCCGCTATCGCAGGTTCTACCTGCCTGGCCAAGGTGTCAATATTGCGTTATCATCCAGGGGCTCTGAGTCCCAGCTCCGATCCCCGACCCCTGACCCCTCTCACCCCGCAAGCGTTCACGTCCTTGGCCATTCTTTCGTTAATTTTATCTCTGACGGCGATTAATGCGAATAAATTTTATAGACGAAAATGTGCACTCGCATGTCCGTCGCCGAGTTTTCCTCTTTGTGTGTGCGTGTTTTCCCTGGGACCTTTTCCCCCGCCCCTGCGGCTCGCATTTTCCTTGCTTTTCCTCCGTTTGCCTCTTCCCCTCGCCTCTGGCTAATGTTTTCTTACTGACTTTCTGTGGCCATTGTGCACCGCCTGTGTTTTGGAGTATGTGACTTTTGCTGTTTGTCTTCGGCACCTGCAGACCTGCAGTTGTTAATTGTTCGATGTCCGTTGCTTACGCGATCTTGCAGCTCAGGATCTCAGGATCCCGACGAATCCGATTCCGATCCCTTGGCGATTCCCCGTTTCCATTTTATTTATTTTTTTAGCAATTGCCGCTGACTCAGCATCCGTGGAGAGCGTGGAAACTCGGCGTCTCTGTGCCCCCCAAGCAACCCTCAATTAGGATTGGGCTGGGCATGGAAACAGCAGGTCCAGGTACAGACTGTCCAGATACACGATGCAAGATGCAAGATACAAGATGATACAAACAGGTTTTCCATTTTCTTAACCCTCGTCGTGGTCGCGACACTTGTCCCGCTCCCCGCTCCCCGCTCCCATCCAGCATTGTTTGCGATGTGTTAACCTTAAGCGATTTCTGACTTTTGTGGACCCTATTGTTGCGACCCTGACTTTTTCTCGATGTCGACTTTGATATAAAAAAAGAGTGTGTATAGCCTAACAATGGAATACATTTCGGTGGGAACGCCGCGAATCCTGACCAAAGGACAATGACGATCGCAGATAGCAATCGCGCGCGAAAGATGCAGGTTTTCTGGGATTCACTTGGTTTTCCCCTGCTTTCTTTGCCGTCTGGGTGAAAAGCGGCGCACCCACACACGCACTATTTATGGATTTCCGTTGGGAATGGGATTGGGAACGCGAATGGCGGAAAAGCTATGCCCTCGCTCATATTATTCGCGCCGCTCCCGAAAAACAGTGAAATGAAAGGGGAGTCAATGACCCGCCGGAAAAGTGGGAAAGTCGAACAACCAAAAGACGACGAAATGTTGCAATTGCAATTCACCAATTTAGCTGGCTGCGCCCGCATCTTGGTCAATAAAGGGAATTGATTCAGAAATTGTGAAAATAAATTGGAAATGCAAAGGAGAGGGGGCAAGTGTGCCGCGTGTTGAGTGGTGAAAGTCCCACAATTAAATGGCAAACAAATTTCCGCCAATTATTCGACATTAATTATGATCCATCTGCGGATGAGGGTCAGCGGTGGGAGCTCCTGGCCACTCCTTGCGGGAAAAGGGTTGTTTACCTTTCAAAGGACCATGCTGGTCCTATCAGATCACCCATGAATCTTAATCAGTGAATTTTTTGGCTATGGCGGCTTGCATTTCCCCGTTTTCCCAGGCATGTCGGGAAAACCCATAGTTCCAATCCACATTTACCTCTTGCACAAACCGAAAATGCTATGTGTGGTATATGAACATTTGATTCCCTATTTGCAATCTTCCTGATTAAAAACCTATATATTTAATTAGGTTTTTGAATATTTTTTTAACCAAAAAAGTGATAAAAGTCATCAAAAAGAAACCTAGTAAATGATATACATATTCAAGTTATTAAATTATAATTAATGTATGACTTAAGCTCTTTTCACATACGACACTCACATCAAAATGTACAATTTCGCTTCAGTAAACGTTAGGGGAAATGGCTTAAATCATTTGGAAACCCATTTAGTAAAATTTGAATAACTCGGCGTACAAATTTGTTTCTGTGCGTAATATGCATTGGTGTGTAAATCTGTCAAGCGTTGCTTCTGGAAGCCCACGGAAAATGCCTCAAGAGTCATTGACTTTGAGGCACCAGAAAACGCATCTGCATTCGGTGCAATGGCCGATGCCGCTGATGGCCCAAAACGCCAATCGACCAAGACGCTGCCCCGCCCCCTGCGTTTCAACCAATTAAGCCATGAGAAGCTGCCCCAAACTGCAATCAAAGAAGGCTGGAGAAAAGCAAAAACCCTAAAAATGAAACATTTTTCTCGAAGCCCGTCTGCGAGTCCGAAAAACGCATTACGCGATGAGGAAAATCGGGTTTAGAGCTGTTAGCCAGACTACCTGTGCAGGTTTTTGGCCCCACTACTACCACTATCACACCACTACTACCAACAAAACTGGCCGCAAAAAACCAACAGCAACAACAACAAAACAAAAAACGATCATCACAGTTGGACGAGAGTCGTGAAAATGGGTTTCTTGGCCCAGCATCCCATATCACATCGGCCAAAAGTCACTCCCGACCGACCAGATTTCATATCGCTGGGGTCGGGGATTACACACTTTGTGCATTTGCCGAGTATAACTATGAGTTTCAGGCATGACCTCGCCGCGATCCCACCCCCCAACTCCTTCGATTGATTTCATACACTGCACAGAACAATGTATGCTTTGCAACTAGCAAATAAGGCAGGAAGTGGAACCACACTTAAATGAACTTCGAACTCAAGGCAAACCCACTTACTAATTTACATGAATTGATTATATTTAAGTCTGGCTACAAATTATCCAATATATTATTTAAGAATTATATTATATTATATTTATATTTTCTATCCATATTTAATGTAGTTGCAGTGCATTCTTGACTCTTTATGGGTTGACAACTTGTAGGCGTGTTGAATCGCGGACGCAAGAAGACAGCGATTGAAAATGGAAATGGGACCGGGATTGGGACTAGGACTGGTACTGGAATCAGAATCAGAATCGGGGAAAAGGGAATTAAGTCGGGATTGGGATGCACATTTTAAATGTGCAGCGATCTGCAGCGGCTGATAAAGTAAGAGTCTGGCCCGAACCTGTTTTATGGCCAAAAAACGATCGAAAAACGGCTGAACAAAACGACAAAATGAAATGCATAAACGTAAATCTCCCAGCAGGTAGTCCCCGGATGGCCAAGATGGAGTTGGAGATGATGTGGTATGGTATGGTATGGGTTGGGATGGGATGGAGATCATTTGACTGGACCCGAACCTGTAACATTGCGCTCGATGATGACTTTTCGGTCTAGCCGGCGACAATAAATTTCTCAATTTTCCAATGCTCCAGATTGCCGCTCCTGATTGTCCTGTCTGCACATTTTACGCACTCCTTGAGCAGAACAACTGCGCACTTGCCAGGTGCATAAAATGGGGTGAATGGATAATCAGCCGAGGGGCAGGGGAATATTGAGGGGATGGGGTTTAAGGTATGGGTTTCGATTTCTGCGTGGGTGATTTTCTTGATTTCCCAGGCCAAAGAAAGGGTTGCCGATTGATTGATCTCCAGAGATGTATGCACTTGCGTGGAAAACCAAATATTTGCATCACTTTTCCCTGCTCACAGATAAATCCGAGTTTAATCTGCGGTTGCGAGTGTGTGAAAATAGTTTTTTTTTCGCCAGCACCAGCAGAATGCTGATTTTCCAATTGAGTTTTCCGCTTTTTACTTGCCAATTGGCAGAGCTGCGGGTCAAAGGTTGCTGCTGATCGAAGAAAGGCCAGAAAATCGCCAAAAGCGGGCGCTCATTGTGATTTTTTGTGCAGTGGCAGCGATAAGGAAATCACTTCCCCTCCCAAGTAAGTACATTTCGGTTTTTGCTCCCCCTGGGCGCATGTGTATCTGTATCCGTAGAAAAAGTACAAAACACACAACAAAGTGCACCCAAATAGTTATCGCAAACAAGCGGAGCCCGGAAAAATGCGTAGACAGCACCGAAAAAGTTCATTGACTTTCGCGTACAGAAATCAACAACAGCGCGCATCTTTTTAGTGCGTTTATTGCTGCACTGGGAGAAAAAATTAGTAGCTTGGATGTATTATTGCAGTATCAGTATCTGACAGGGTCTTTCTGAATTTAACCGAAATATCAACATAATAATTCTTTCTCAATAATAAGCTGCTTATTGGAAATTATAAAAAATTATAAGACAACCAAATTGTAATTAGTTTATATATATAGTCTCTGCACCACATACTAAATGTAAATGTAGCTATACTTTTTTTGAAGTGCTTTGATTTCGAACAGAAATAAATATGGCGGCCCCAACTCAGCGTGTGCACAAAAGAGCAAACTCCAAAGAGTGCACACACAAAAAATTACATTAAAGTGAAAATGAGCGATAACAACGCCAACACAAACGCAGCTACGGATACAGATACAGATACAAGCACAGATACGGATACACGCACCGACACATAGGCGGCAGAGCGCCACCAGAACAGCAGCTCCCCACCCCCTGATTCCCCGCCCCCCTACCATCCCCCAGGCCCCAGAACCATCGAGCATTCGAGAAAACTGCACGGCCAACGCAGCCATATTTATAAAGAAAAAAACAAAACCAGCATGCCATAAATATTCGTATTCGCCTTGACACGATCATGTGAGTGAGACAGCCGTCTCTCCCCGTCTCATAGCAGTGCATTAAGTGTATAACACCCGACCGGTTTTCTGGGGGTTGGGGACTTCCCCTTCTTTAGAGCTTTGTGGGGAAAAGAAACTGAAAAGATCGCTAGACTGCAGCTGATCTCATAAGTATGCTATACCTTTTTAGTACTGCACATGCAGGCTTTTTCGGCTGACAAATTGTGTTGCCTACTTTTGGACGCGCTTCTAAAAACTGTCCGAAAGCAAATCTAGCGATTTTATAGCTACTTTTCGGAGAGGCAAATAGCCGGTTTCTTTTGAAGCAAAATATGCTTCATCAAGAATTAATACGTAAAAATTAATAGTTATAAGTTGAAAACCCTTTCTGTAATAATATCAGTACATTATAGTACATTATAGAGTAATAGGCTCATCCCACTAATTGGCGAGTATTTTTGCATGTTTTTCGAATATAGCCGTAAGTGGTTTTTCTAATTTTATGCCTGTTACAAAGTCAATGCAAAACAAAACCGTCTTTTGAGTAGACACACTTTGTTAGCATGATAAATGACATTTTTTGTAACTTTATATTTTTGCAAACGGGGTAATGAACCAAGTTCAAACCCACACAGTAAATTGAAACGCGTTTGCCAATGAGCAATATTTATGTTTGCAAATGGGATTTATATGTATAGATGTAGTAAACTATTAGGAATACAGATAATTAGTAAATGACTCTCTAATTTTAATGAACAAAACAATTCGATTTCGTGTCAAGAGAACTGAATATATGTAAATGCTCTAATCGATTTATTTTAGAACAAATTAGCTATATTCAAAGTAAAAACCTACTATACTTCTAATCGCGATTCAATCGAACGTGATATTAAATTTTCATTAGCTGCAGTATTTGCTTACAAATGCGAATAACAGGTATTGTGTTCTTCCAGTTCTAACCGGTTGCTCAGATGCATACATACAAATGTATGTGTTTTAGCAATGAATCCTAGCGTTATCCTTCCTGGAGTGTTTTTAGCAGCACTTTTTCTAATGACCAGTGTGAGTGTTGGATAAGTTATTTTTAAAGTGAAACTAGATCATTTTTTCAGGAGGCACCCTATGTAAAGCTCACAAATGTTGTCTGTGAATCAAAAAACAAATCCTGGGCCATTTTCCACTATTGCCGCCTAAAGGCTTACTCGCGAAACAAGACCAGCTTGAACATATGTAAATGCAACATTTCTGCATCCAGCTAATAATGTAACCCTCAAATTAAAGATGGTGAAAAAATTAAGTGGCTATAAGCCATTTCTGTTTGACATCACAATCGACGCCTGCCTATTCCTGCGAAGAAGACATAATCCCGTCATAAAAATGTTTTATGGCTTCATAAAGGATTATTCCACACTGAATCATACGTGTCCTTATGAGGTGAGTTGGTTTTCTTCGACTTGGTCACCAGCGCATTTCAAATCTTCAATTTATTTTTAGGGCTTGCAAATGGTGAGCGATTATCACACCGCTGTCTTTCCAGTTCCATTACCATCAGGAGACTATGGAGTGCTCCTGGATTTCATATTCGATGCTAAGAAGCAGTTCCACGTAAATATTTACTTTAACTTTGTGGAGGACTTTTGAACACAAGTTCTTAGATTTCTTTATAAGTCAAATAAAAACCAAAGTCAACCGAAATGGTATTTAAATTTATTACATGCAAAAACCATCGACATTTACTTGCTATTAGTTAACCCCTTATGTCTGTCAACCATGCATCATTAACTTATATTTTCCTAAGCTTTTGTTAACGTTTTCCAAATACACAACTACATTAGTATCTGCTTACACTTTAAGCTATTTCATTTGTTTATGCTTACAAAACTAGCATATAGCGTATAGTTTAGTGTTTAGAGAGTTGATTTCTTGTTGTAAAACTCAGCAGATTCATTTGCTTTGGCGTGATCAAAAAACTGTTTACCGAAATCAATTTTGAATAACTAAAAAGTTAACTAAGCAGCTAAAACTCCTGAAGTATCTTATAGTAGTGCTGCCATAACTGAAATTTAATTTTAATGACTTCTTCAAGCCAAAAGACTGCTTGATTTAAATAATACAACACAAAAAAATGTCTTTATTTGGATGATAGACTTATAATTCGAATAAATTGTACATTCACATTTCTCTGCCGAGATCCGACATGTATAAATATCAGTAAATATTCATGTTTGTTTAAAGATTTAACAAATATTCGTTAGACAACTTCACAGTTCCTCCTTTTCGGACGCAGTCTTGGTGACCTTGTGAACCCTGAAGACCTCCAGGATGTTCAGTTTCCTCAGCAGCTCCTCCTTCTTGGCCTCGGTGACCTTGCCGGCCTTGAGCCGCAGCAGTCGCTTGGTCTCCTCCTCCAGGAAGTCGTATCCCATCTCGTTGATCTTGCGCATGTAGATCAGATAGGCCTTGGCGTTCTGCTGCTGCTCAGGATTGGTCAGCAGCTCCTGCTTGGCCTGCAGCTCCTTGATGAGTTTCAGCTGCTCTGCATCGGGGATGTTGGCATAGTTCTTGAGCACTTCGTTGAACTCCTTGATGCAGCCATCACGACCGATATAAAGCGGTGTGTTGGCACTGACAAAGGCCTTCAGATTGTCCAGCGTCACGTCCAAGTGGCTGGGAAGCTGGACGTACTCCTCAGCGTTGCCCTTGAACAGGAAGATGCTCGGGAAGTTCTTGTCGTCGACTTTGTAGCGGTCGCCCAGGGCCTGGCAAAGGGTGTTACCAAGTTAGCAATAATAGTTAAATCAAGTGCGGAATTATACAAAATACAAGGAAGTTTCCCACACAGGATTCCACAAACAAAGATCACCAGGATTGCAATCATTACACCATATCTAAGTGCCTGGGAATCCATAAGAAACTCACCTTGTTCTCCAGTTCCCCGTAGTCCTTGACACCCACGGTGGCTATCAGCAGATCTTGAGTTGCCTTGTGGGCGGACTTGGAGAAGGCGGTGAAGGCCTCATGCTTTTCGCCATACGGATATGCAATGTCGAATTTCACTATGGAGTAGGGAAACCGCTCCACCGCCTGCTGGAAACTCAGCTCGTCCAGATCCACGCAGCCCGGGCAGGTGACGGCCCAGGTGGAGGGCAGCGAGTGGAAGGCGACCAGGAGCAGTGTTACCAAAATATGCATCATCTTCGTGGCAAAAACTAGAGACTTCTGAACTTGACCCTACTCTTGCCGATCGTCAGCGCAAACTGGCTAAAAACGAGCGAGAGAAGAGCGGTGAAGTGGTGTTCGAGTTTGAGTTGTGGGCCAGTTTACGCTTCGCTCGGCTAAATTGTTTGGCTGCTTTGGCCAACTCACTCAGTTCTGGGCTCTCTGAAATTCTCGGCTCCACGATTTCTCGATCGAGTTGAATGACACGTCAGTGAAAAGAAGCGGCTCTCTCACTCAAAACCGGCTATTTCGTTGGCCAGCTCTTGTTGTTAGTTCAGCTGTTTTGGCTTCTATGTGGGCCTATTGTAACTCTCGTAGGGAGATTTATTATGTAATGCCTGGTACCTAATGCGGGTACCTCGTTTTTGGCTGTCGCTTTTAAGCGTTGAAATAATTGTCATCCCAATAGCTGGGGAATGAGCCATGATGCCAAGCTGATAGAAAACTCATTTCGGGCAAAAACGATCAGTTGGCCAATAGAGCGTGCCACATTAAACCAGGCCAATTAGCCAGGTTCACAAAACCTGCAGTGCAGCGCAGCCTACAGGAAGTGGTAATTTGCAACTGTACTTGCGTTTGGCTATCTTTCGAATTGTGAACACCCTTTTGAAGTATATATCTACACATTTTTATTCATTTCAGTTTTGTCTGAAGCGGTTTTACCTATCTTGTTCAACTATATAAACAAACTAAATTCAAATGAAGTTAGCTCAAGATTCAGTGAGTTGATTTAATAGCAGATCGACCCCTGAAAGGCTTGCTAAGAGGTATGGAAACACCTGCCAGTGGATGGAAAACGAACCCCGTTTGCCATAATTTTCATTAGCCTGGAATTGAAATTTTCCCGGCACCAGATCCCACCCCCAATTCCAATTCTCCCACCCCTTTGTCCCGGTTAATGGACATTTTCGGCAATTGTCAATTAATAATTCATGTACGCGGCACACATGTTGGTCACCTCAAACCAAAAAGAACCACCGATGACCAAATGCCCCGCCCCCTTTGGCGGTCAAAATAGTTGGTTTAGTTTTTCCATTTGCGGTTTCGTTTGTCCACTCTACGGAAAATTGTACATCACGGCACGCAATTCGGACGGGAGGTACGGAAAAGCGTTGTGAGCTTCACACGATCGATACGGCCGACCGGTAAATTATCTTTCCTGATGGATGGGCGTGTGTCTTTTGTGTGGTGGGTTGGTGAATGGGTGGTTGGGTGGTTGGGTGTTCGATTGGTGCGTCAGGTGCAAGGAAAATCCAGCAGGCAATGCGCAATTTCCAAAAGAATTAACTGGAAGTGGGGCGGGGGTAATGCCTGATGGAGATTCAGTAATGGGGCCTGACATGCGTGTGTCAATCGCACAAAGGCCCGAAATTACCGGATTGGATGGTCGGGAGGTGCTCTATTTCCCTATTTGTAATGCTGACCTCTTTGCTGGCTGCGCGAAAAAAATGGAGTCCAAGTTCGGTGTGTATGCGGCTTATGGCGCACTTGTGTTTGCACTCCATTTATTATGCAACAGCAACAAAGGACAAGCAATTTGCTAAGTACACCCCAGTCGAGAGGCCTTCAAAACAACATGGAAAACTCCAACATAGCCTTCAATTAGCCGCCGTGACGGGCATTTTATTTTGAACACCTTGCCGCTGCCCGCCAGCTAAATCCTTCTTGGGCTTTAAAAATAAAAATCTAGATTATATTTGGACAAATTATGGGCACTGTCCGGCGAAGAACCTTCAAGAGTCCTCCAATTCCAATGCCATATACCAGCATGCCCCATATGGGGCATTAATATTACAAATGGTGCTACTTTTGCGTTAGTTTGGGTACAGCGGCACTAATAACACAATGACCTTTACGCGAAACGACCCCTTTGGGGTGGATGGGGTGGATGGGGTTGCTGGGGTTGCTGGGTGGCCCTGACCAATCGACATTAAAGTGATAAGCGCGCAAATTTCAGGACCTGGAACGGCTGCAATCTTGGCGCGGAAATCAAGCGATTGCGGCATTGTTTTTTATAGACCACCCACATCTATTGGGTTTGGAACAGCGGCCAATAGTCGAAGCTAATCGCCTCCTGCAGGACAGGTGCTCCATTTGGATACCGTGCAGTGAATTCTGTAAGGGGTATACTTGGCCACGTGTTTGACTTGAGTAATTACACCAATTACAGTCCTACGTATTTTAGGTAATGCCAATTTTTAGCTGCGCTAATTTACATATTACATATTATGCAAATGTTTTAAATAACATTTAATATATAATTTCTTCTTATTCATGGTGACAAGGTGAACTATTTTTAGCAATTACTAAAATATTTTTTAGAACCCTATGAAAGTTTTTTTCTTGCAGATTGCAGTGCCCTTGGTACTCAGCGTTTCGCAGGGTATCTATTGAAAATCATGCTCCCAGGACAAGCTTTATTTTTTGGCAGCCCCGCAGTCTAATTATGTGGCAGTACATTGAAGGCGGGCCATGAATTTTTCATGGCCCACGTATGCCAAGACATGCAATGTTGGGGCCAACTGGCCAACTGACAATTTGGATAGAAAATAGATGAAGTTGGGCCTGGGAGGGGGATTCGAGTTACCAACTTGCGTAAGAGGCCACGCGATTTCTAATCATGGAAAAACCCCGGTCTCGTTTACTGTAAACTTTTCACTGGGATCCAGGCACTTGTGAAGTTGAAGCTCATCAAATTTTTATGCCATGGCATAATTCCATAAATGGGCCATGGAATGACCCACCTGAAAAGGGCCATATGTTCCACCCCCCCTCCAAAAGAAAACTGGAAAAATAACTTCGGCAATAATTTGCATGCCCAAATCGAAACTGCCAAATGCTCAATAGGCGGTGCTCATCATAATTGGTATTTATTGAAAATGCCTTTTGGTTAACCCACACATCGGCTGTTCATAACCATAACCCTTGGCTTCGACTGCGCGAGAGAGGCTTAGGGGTTAAGGGTTAAGGGTCGTGGGTTAAGGGTGGACAGACGTAGGCCTGGATACCGCGTTTATAGCTTTTCATTTGCATTTATTGCCATTTCGATACGTGTGGCTATCAGGACTGGCAATTTGAGGCGTTTAGCGCAAATTTCTTTTCAATATTTGTGCACCCAATAAACCGAAATGGTCAGTTAGCCTTCCAATTTGATTGCAAATTTGTTTTTTCGGCTTTTATGCCAACTGCGTGCTGGGAATTCGAGAGCAAATCGTAGGTGGCTGAATGGCTTAAATGGTCAATGGTTTTCCACTGGACGGGAATGAGTTGCCTGCGCTAATTAATCACTCGAATGCATTATTATGTGTTCTGCGCTAATTACGCTTTTTCAATATTTGTCCAGGAAACCGCGGTCCAAATCAAATAAATTCGTTTGCCTTCCTTCAACATATTTCACTTTTTTTTTTTAAATGTTTATTATTATAAAGCGACGAATCCGTACATGCAGTACTAGTACCATAACATTGCAATTAAACATATAAATAATATAACCAAACTTCTCACTTATCGTGGGAAGACTAACAACAGAGTCTCAAACGTCGAGGGGGTCTTTAAAGCTGTCCAATTGTTTTGGCAAAGCCCTTTCTTTTAAGCCTTCTTAGAGGCCTGGCAGGGAGTAGGCGTCTTGCTAGCATGCTGTGGTGTCTTTTAAGCCTATCACTGTATCTGCTTGTGTGCCTTGAGATCTGTTCTTCCACTGTATGCAGATTAAGGTCCCGATGAAGGGTTGAGCTACGTACATAGTATGGGCAGTTGGTGATGGCACGCATTGCACGATTTTGCAAGACCTCAATGCGTTTATAGTTCGATTTTGCAGCAATACCCCAGATCTGCACTCCATATAGCCAGATCGGGGCTATACAGTGGGCGTATACTGCCCTTTTGGCTCTAAGTGTCATGGTGCTTCTTCTGTTGATCAACCATCGCAGTTGTTGCATTCTCTGACCGCATCTCCGTGCCGCAGCTTTTAAGTGTGGGCCAAAGGTCAACCGTTTGTCAAGGGTGATCCCAAGGTATTTAGCCTGCAGAGGTTGTTCTAGGGTTACGCCATCAAATTGTATGGGTGGTGTGCGCCTAATGAGAGTCTTCAAGGTGAAACAAGGATTGATGGTCTTATGTGGATTTACCTTTAAGTTCCATCTTTTGCACCATGCAGCCAAAGTATTGAGATACTCTTGGAGGCCACGTGCTGCCTCAGTGCAAGAACTGGAGCTGTATAACAGTGCGATATCGTCAGCGTAAGTGGCGAGTAGGGCCTTCCTGGGAGCTTCCATATGGTGCATATTTGGGCAAGGCAAATCCGCGGTAAATATTGAGTAGAGCAGCGGGCCGAGGACGCTGCCCTGCGGAACTCCAGCTCTCATGTAGCAAGGGGTTGAGTAGGTGCTTCTGACCCTGACCATGAACTTCCTATCTTCCAGGTAAGATTTCAGGACTCCATAGTATGGTGCTGGAAGCAGCTTTTTTATTTTGCAGAGTAGGCCGATATGCCAGACTCTGTCAAATGCTTGCTGCATGTCAATAAATACAGCATTGCAGTATTCCAAGTCGTCAAACGCCTGAATAATGTGCTTAACCAGTCTGTGAACCTGCTCCACAGTGCTGTGTCCCTGTCGAAATCCAAACTGGTGATCTGGGAGGATACGGCGCTCCTTAATAAAGTCACCTAGTCTGTTGGCAATCAGCCTTTCCCATATCTTGGATAGCGAAGACAGCAGACTTATGGGCCGATACGATTCCGGATCCTCTTCAGGTTTCCCAGGCTTATGTATCATGAGAATTGCTGCCATTTTCCACTGCTTTGGGAAGGACTGCACCCTAAATATAGCATTAAATATTTTCGCCATGTATAGGATGGCTCGGAGAGGTAGCGCTTTTAACGTGGCATTACAGACATTGTCGATGCCAGGAGTCTTCTTTATTGGCATTGATTTAATGACTTCGGCAATTTCCTCAACCCTGATTGGTTTAATTGGTAGCGACATTTGTAGGGGTATCTCTAGGCTGTCAAGCGTCTCTCGATTCTGCTCCATTGTAGCGAATTGGTAATGGGTGAACCTAGTCTCCAAATGATTTGCAAAGGAATTGGCCTGTTCCTCCTCGTTTTTAGCAAGTTCACCTCCCGGGCATCTAATGGGTACCTGTCTGAACGGTTGTCTTTTGAGGGATTTGGTGGACTTCCAGAGTGAATACCCAGCATCCACCGTATAGTCCATAGAAGCCAGCTTCTGCTCAAAAAAGATACTTCGAAGGTCTCTTACCACATTTCGTAGTTGTTTTGCAGCACGGTTCCATAAGATGCGGTCCCAGGGATCTTGAGATCGGATTGCTCGCCTTCTGAGTCTCCTTTTCTGTGTCAGGAGCTCTCTAGCCTCTCTTGTTAGGGA